TGTGTGTGTGTGTGTCCGTCCTGTGGTACTAGGGTCCTGTGGTTTTCTATGTTCATCTGTCTGCTGGTAAAGCCCAGGCTACCCAAGTGAGCTCTTTGAATCTATATGGACAACAGTGAGTAATCTCCTCACCTCAGGCTCCAACACGTACGTCTGTCTGCTGAGAAATGTAGGCTGTGAGAAGAAGGCCGTCACACAAACGCCTGTGCAGCACACTCTCACTTAAGCCTTGTCTGCTATCTCTTGCGCACACACACACACACAGACACAGTTTTGACTCTCATTCTTTCACCTTCAGCTCCACTTGCTATGTGTTCATTTCCTCTGTGCATGCTACACTGGATACAGTGTGACCTGTTTTGATTGGATAATGGAAGCTTTGCTTCCTAATAGAGGTACTTCCAAGGCATGTAGTCTGAACATCAGCCCCCATACTAAGGTTGTTTTTTCCGCTTCCTTTTCGATGCGAGCGGTCTGATTGTTTTGTTTCTGGGACCAGGTTCATCCTCTGTTGACAGTGGCTCACAGGTGGATGCAGAGGTTTTTACCAACAACAAGATAAAGTGGAGACTTTTGAAGATTGTATTTGTATTGTTCTGGCTGTTTGACAGGTATTTTCCTTCATGTGGACAGAGAACACTCTCCCAACTATTTTTCAGTAAAAATGTTCCAAATATACTTTGCGTTTGCATTGACACGGTGATAATCTATTATCCCTGCTATCTCAAAGCTCTACTGGCTAATCCCCTGCACACTAAGCAGCTCTCACAGAGAGATCGCGATAGGTCAATCTGCCACTTTTAGCTTGCTTTACTTTTATTTGCTGTGCTTCAATAGGTCAGTATTGTTTCACTACCTGTGGAGATTACTGCTTCAACTATTTCATGTACTTTGTTATGGGTTAGGAACCATACATCTTGGGCTTCACTGTATCTTTCCTATCATAACTTTGACTTTTGTTTGTGTGGCTGGAGATTGGAGTTGTATTTGACCTATTGACTCATTGCTTTATATCTGTGTGAATGCAGGTGTCTCCTCTGCTACCTTGTTGCACTCAAAGTCCCTGCGTGGCCACAGAGACTGCTTTGAGAAATGCCACCTAATTGCCAACCAGAAGCTGTCACGTTCCAAGGTCTCCCGAAGTGCCTATGAGGGCATGAAGCTGGCCCTCAGCCAGAAACTGAACCGCATCATCCAGTATGCCCAGAACAAAGACTCTGTCTCCTCCAACGGCCCCAGCAGGCGGGGGGCCAAGCTCCTTTGTTACAGCCAGCAGAATGACTGCAAGCTGCTTCCCCAGATGGATGCCCAGGTGCCCCGGTACACGCCCTGCTGGGACAAAGCAACGGGCCGCGCCGTAATGCCTGATTACGCCATGGGTATGTTGGAGTGCCACACAGCGGAGGAGCTGGGGCTGCTGCAGGAGTCCCAATCTGACGTTTGGTCCAGTGATGGCAGGAAAGGCCTACACAGCCGGAAGCAGTCATCAGGAGGAGGACAGACGCAGCACAGAAACCAGGGCCACAGCAGAGATGAATGTGAGCACATTTAAGTTGATTTTTTTTTTTTTACGTGCAACTTGTCAGTGTGTGATTGAAACAGTGGTTGGAGGTTGATTTTTTCTTCTTCTTTTGATGGAAGAATAGTGTTTCAACAGAAATGGATTGCTGCACTCCTCTCTTCTCTCCTCTGTCTGGACTTTAGTTCAGTGTGATCTCTCTGAGGTCTCAAAATCCTCCAAGCATGTGTTCATTAAAAGGCAGCAGACAAAACAGAGTATACATTCTTGCTTGGTCTGTCCTTCATCCTCCTCTGTGCTATGATCCCTCCAGAGGAAAGTTAATTTTCTCATAACCTCGAGATACAGTGTGTCCTTGCCTGTCTCATGTCTCTTCAGTACTAAAGCTGCTTATGACTACAAATTCTGTGCTTTTAAATGAAAGCTGACAGGCATTTGACAGAAACACGGTTTGTACTTAGTTATGTGCGTTTATCTACATCAGCTTATCATCGACCTACCAACGCTCACTGCTCTGAATATCTGCAGATGGACAGGAAACTGATAAAAGTTTGCGTGTGCAGCATGTGAATGAAATAACCTTTTTCTCATACAGTTATAAACGGTGAAAAACACATTAAAGCAACTAGTCATCATAATGCTACTCTTATATCTTTAATAGGACCTAATTAGTTTGTTACTGATATACTAACGGCCATTGTACACAGGATCCGTAGTGGCTGCTGTCCACCAGCTCCGTGTCCAGAGTGTCTCTCTTTTCCGTGTTATCTTAACGCTGCGCGTCTATTTTTGTCAAAGCTGCATGTGTCTGTGAAATTCACTCCAAATGTATATAAATGCCTGTTTCTGAATTCTGTCTACACACAAACACAAGTAGTTGAAGGGTTAAAGGATCCATTAATCCTCTGTTGCTCTTCCTCTCTGAGATCATCAGCAGCAAAATTCACAATATCGTTGTTCTCATAAACATAGCTTTCTGTTTCTGTTGTCAGACAACAGAAACAGAAGAAGCATGACATTTGATCCGGCTCACAAATACTATGTTGAGCAGCAGTCATTATGAAGTTGCTGAGCTGCAGATAAAATCATTATTTTACAATCATGGCATTGTCTGACAAAATGAACCAGAACACAGGTTAATGACGGCAGCTGTACTGTGAGATCGGCTCTATTGACATTTAAAATGATCGATGACAAACATGGTTAGAAGTAGCAAAAGGTTATCATCTTAGTACACAAAGCGTCTGTTACCACCTCTAAATGAGCTGCTGTATTTTTGTTTGCAAAACAACAAAACCAACTCTCAACTATTAGAAATATGTCTGCTGAAGATGCTGCACTTGGAAACCTCTCCAGTAAACTGCAGCTGAGCCAGAACGCAGCTGGATGCTGTGGACATTCAGTGTGACTAATGAAATATGTTGTTTTTTTCTTTCAGTGTCTAAAATGAGTGTGGACGAGCTCCATCAGATAAACACCCAACTACTGATGCAGATTCAAAGTAAGTGGTTTTTACTGGCATTGTGTCCTTGCACAATACAGCAGGTTGAACACAACCTTTAAAGGTCCAGTGTGTAACATTTAGGATCCATTTGCAGAAATGGAATATAATATTCATAGGTGTGTTTTCATGAGTGTAGAATTGTTAGAATAGTAGTATTGCTAGTTGTATAATTGTATTATTGTTAGGGAGAAGGTTGTCTTCTACAGAGTCTGCCATGTTGAGCTGCCATGTTTCTACAGTAGCCCAGAATGAGTTTTAGGCCCACTCTGGTTTCTCAGACATGCTTCAAAGGGTGAGCTATATTTGTTGTAATCTACAACCTCACCACTAGATGCAAATAAATTCCTTTTAATATAAAGTTTAACTGTTTTAATCATCAATATTTTAACATCATCTTCAATCTGTAATGCTCTTCTCTATTAAATGCCCATTGTAGACTGATGAGAAGTAGCATCAGTAAAAAGTATTTTAATCTACAGCATACCCAGTCTGAGTTTCAGCACATGAGACTCAAAGCACAAGTTCTCTCGTCAACACATCCTCTCCTTCCATGTGACCAGTTGAGTTGAATTGGGCACTGTGTAGTGCTCGCTCATGCGTACCCTGCCTGTCTGTTCACTCCATTCTTCATCATGTGTATTGTTTTCTACACACAGTAACAGCTAAGCAACACGCTTCTCATCTCAAGCAGGTTTTATATTAACCTCAGTAAGTTCAAGTACCCACTAGAGCATGTGACGGCTGCTGCAGCAGGGTCATTACAGCACAGCGTAGTGAGAGTTTGACACACTCAATTTGACAGCCCAATCATCGTTAAACATTCTTGATATTTTCATCTTCATTCAGTGATCAAATGAGCCAAATTCTCACTTTGGCCAGTGCCAAGATGAAAATTACACAAGCTAATGTGAGATGTCCTCTGATGAAGTGAAGTGTAGTCTGCGCCTGGAGTCACACATTCCTATTCATCCTTCAGGGGCAGTCGGTTGCACATATTTTCATTACTTTACTCAAAACAGATGGGGAGGTTATTGCTCATCCTAAATTATTTAGGAGGAGCACACAGGCCCAAAACTGGTTTGATCTACAGTTCTTTATATTGGATATATTGTTTAAATGAGTGTTCCTCAGCTGCATAACTTTGCTGCGGGAGTATCTTAAGCAGATGCATTTTCTGTCGTGTTGTCTTTGCTCTCTGCTCCTTCAGTAATCGGCCTTATTGATTTTCTTTATCTCATTTGTTTGTCTGTGTATAAGTTGACCTTTTGAGTGAACCTAACCACTGATTTCCCTTTCCTGTTTGTCCCTCCACAGAGGTCTTCGAGGAGCTGACTGTGGCCGTGCAGGAAAAAGACTCGTTGGCGTCTGAGCTGCACGTGCGTCACATTGCCATCGAGCAGCTCTTTAAGAACTGTGCCAAGCTGCCCTGGCTGCACATTAGCAGGGCCGGGGTCAAAGCCAGCAGCAGCAGCAGCAGCCCTGTGGAGTGAGGTGAAATGTGCTGAGAGGAAGCAGACAGACACTTCAACATGCTGGCTGCAGCAAGCCGGAAAAAGCCTTTCTGTATACTGAGTGACTTTTACAACACTATGGTGGCGTTGAGTTGTTAGATCTGCTTTAGAGCCGCATTAAGGGCTGGGTTGACGTGGCCTCCGTTCTTGTGGTTGAGGTGATGATGCAAGGATTAATGGTGGTTTGCAGTTTAAAACAAATTGCTGGTCTGGCATGTGACCTGAATTCCACCCTACTCGTGTACCCAGGATGCATGGTAATACCCGGTGAAATGGAGCTCAGAGTTTCCTGGCCCCGGTAGACGATGAGGACATGTTCTGATTGGGCATGATCCTTAAAGAATATCTCTTAAGATTTACCTAAATACAGACTGAAAAAACTTTGTCTGCATAATTTTACATAAATGGTTGCTGTTGGTTTTATTTACTTTTGTTTAGTTTTCTATCACACATTTCAGTTTTCATTTTCTGTAGATACATTTTCACATTTTTATTTTTACCCTTCTCATTATGTCAGATGGCTTTTCAAATATGGGTTATAACACTGCTTAATACTCCTCCATATGGACTGCTGAGTTACAGTATTTTATAACATGGATTGGGTAAATACTTGATGCAGATTAGTTGGATGATGTCTGTCATATTTTAATCCCGATTGGCACTGCCAGCAGTAGTGTTTGATTACTGTTGTAATGTAAAGCATTAGCAAGCTTTAAGCTTCTTCCTGCAGCTGCACACTGGCAATATAATGGCTTGAAACGTGAGTTTTGGAGTTGGCTTCAAACTGCTCTAATTAGACACGATTGTTTGTGGAAACTGTGGTCCTCTGAGATATTTGCCATTTTGTAAATGAGATAGATAGAACAGTAGTGGGCTTCATGGGGAAATTACAGACAATTAAAATTAACAAAGCTTTGCTAAATTATCACACAGGGTTTAAACATTTTGACTCAAATAAGTAACATATTGAAATAAGATCAAGTCAAATCTAGAAAAGGGAAAGTGCAAGACAACACCCAAAGTACCCTAAAGCATTATTGCAACGAATACAAATCAGAGTGTGAAGGTTAACACGGCTATGGCTATACTAGCTGTGCAGGTTTTAGTTTGCGGGGGTGATGACTATTTTGGGAGTGTCAATGAACTAATACTTTGTAACAGCTGGTTGGCAGGCAGCAAGTTGAAATATCAGTCAATAAATATCAGTTAATATGCCCTTAAAATGCTTAAAAAAGTTAAAAAGCTAGGTATTTAGTTTTGAATTCTTTTGGGTTTATAGTAACTATTAATGCTGATGAGATTTAGTTGATATTAAGCACAGAGCTGTTTGTTGCCTGTTGTATAGCTGTCAAGCACAAGTCCTTCGTATGGCTATACACTGAGTGAATATTAGAAAAGGAAAGGTGACAATATTGCAAAAGAAATCCAGCTGCCAAACCAAAGTCTGTACTCGTTCTGTTTTACATGTCAACTGCAAGCATTTGACTTAGATTCCCTTAATAGAGGACGATGCAATACCAAATGTATGTGGCTTAGTGATTTACGTCTGTGTGTAATGATGAACCATAGATTTTTACTCCCAAAGTGTTGACGTGGAAACGATTAGTTCTCAAGTACACACGGTGTGTATTTTATGACTTGTTTTATTTATCTTTTTCATTTTTCTTTGATGTGCAGTGTTAACTGTAGCCGCCCTCTCTCCTGCATTGATGTGTGAGAGCTAAGTTGATGTCACAGCAATAAAACAAACAGGATAGTTTAGTGTACTGTGCCTCTGGAGGTCCCTGATTTTTGAACAAAAGTAGAGAAGCACATAGGGGATGGTATTAACAAACAGTCAGTGTTTTAAGCCTGCAGGTTTGCTTAGTTTCTTATTCAGGAACCCTATGCAAGAAAGAGACAAATAAATCAGAAGCCTTATAAAGTAGAAAATATCTTAAAGAATATTTGTTTATGTGAGTTTTTCTCAGAGGAGGTCACTGATACTCGAGTATAATAAGCTGGGAAAGACGAGGTTCTAATCAGACTGATGCTCAGAAAAACTCAGCATTGTCAGTGTATCTCTTTTGCTCTCTCTTTGTAAGAGATTAAATGTATTGACCCCTTTTAGGGTTTAAAGTTAAAGGTTTTAGCTCCATTTAAAACTTGTATCTTGCTTTTATTTGGATAACTGTGTTGTGTGTGCTTGAGTGTGTACGAGTATTCAGATTACTGGTCCTTAATGCAACTTTTAAGTCATTCAATCGTCAGTTGTATGTTTTTTTTTATGTGCATTTCAATTCTGAATGCTGTGTGTTTTTGTGTACTGTGGAAACATGCCTGGGCCTGTGCCTCTGCTCAGCAGAGAAGACTGGTTTTGGTTATCTCATTATCATTTACTGGAGATGATAGCATACTTGTGTTACACTTCACCTCCGCTCTTTAGACTTGACTCTTTGTACATTTGTTTTCTAATGTCGAACAAGGCTGCATTTGTGTTGTGTGATGATTTACATTCTATTTATTCTGTGTGTTCATGGACCTTACACAAGCTATGTGATTTGTGCTTAAGTGACAGTTTGTATTATTTTGTAAAATATTTCAATAAAATAAAATTATTTTTACTACATATGCTGGTTATCAGTGCTGTGGATTGATTATTAGTATTCTCATTGATGGAAAGGAATGTGGCCACCACCGGAGGGCTTCTTCTACACATGGGTGCTTGACAAAACATTCAAAGCAGCAGCTCCTCAGAATCAACTGCAATAACCTCTGCTCAAAGTCACCCATTCTTCACTTCATGTACAATTAAACAGTGAAGTGCTGGCTTTTTACAGCGCACAATCATGTGTACTTCTCTAACTAACTAACTGATAGCACAAAAAACCAACATTTCATCAAACAATTGTTAACTTCTTGGATTTCCAGATGGACTGCAGATACAGAGGGACAGGGCCTGTTGCATTGTGTGGTAGGTGGAGGTTGGGTGCCCTCTTTTGGACAACATGTTGAACTACAAATGATCCTGGTGGTTGTAATCATTTCCGGGAAATATGCACACTACTGTTATGTGGTAAACATCACATGGATCGAATAGCCTTTACCGTAATACTTTGAGAACCTTCAATATTAATAACTGACTTTAAAAGAAGACATTTTGTGGAATGATGTAACATAATGTAGTTTTAATGTTCCCTGTGTTGTCTGAATCGTTCTTTATAAAGCCCCCTTCTCAGCAAGTTATTGGTATTCCTCTCCCACCGTCATGAACTTGATCTATTTCTTGTTTTCTCCACTTTTTCCAGATTCAAGAGTTTTATTGTCACATGCACAGTAAGAAAACAGTGGTTTATACAACACAAGTCAAACTTAACACCAAAAATAATTCACTGACAAATGACAAATTACAAATTTCAAATGGTGTTTGCGCTTTGCATTTTTCACGATGAAATGACATCACTGGACGCAACCATCGGAACAAACAAAAAACACATGCCCGACGCTATGAGTCATAACAGCAATGAGTGTGACTCACTTCCTCTTTTACGGACATGTGTTCGACCAATGAATGCGCTATATTGGTCTGCTTGAACCAATGAGAATGATCGGCGGGCGGGTATCGTGTTGTAAAGGGCGGGGTTAATAACCGAACCTCAAGGGTTCTTCTGCTGGCCGACTTCACCCTACCATTCATTCTTATGCCCACATGCTGGGAGGGACCACAAGGAGAGGTAACGCAAGCTGGTTATATCCTCGTATCTCACTACGTTACATAAGTGTCTCTTAATGTGTGTGTTTATATGTCAATATATCACAATGTAGCATGACTATTTCTAACTTTTGCCTCCATATTTAGGATAGTTGCTGTGTTTGTTGGCAACATGAGGCTGTTGGCGTTAACTTTAATGGCGTTAATAGCCGTAGCCTGTATTCTCTGAAGGGAATAGTGTAATGTAGTCAACATGAGGTCGAAAGTAAGTTTGAAATTCACTTCGGCGCGAATACAGCTAGCTCTGTTAACAGGCTAACCCCCTGAGAGCTGTGGCTTGTGTTGTGGAGTATGGCGGTGACCGGAACCTGCGCGTCACAGCCCGCCTTTCTGGGTCGTTTGTAATCGCCTGGCCGTTAACTGAAGCCAGCACATCAGGTGAAGGACACATTGTCCTTAAATGTTTTAATGCCAGTGTTATCCGTTCATTTAAACAAAAATAATCTCTAACACAGCAGTTGTTGCCACGCGCACATGGACACTAGCGTTAATGAAAGAGACTTACTGTTCAACTACAGAGACTTGGTAGGTCCTCTCATATAATACACTTAGTTTGGACTGAATGGTGTAGCGGATAAAGATGGTGGTTAAACACTGAATCAATTTCAAATGTGTGAGTAATGGAGTTTTTCTCCTAAAGAGTTTTATTCCAAAATGTCTAGGGCCGCACGATATGTTTAAAAAAAAAACAACAAATATTTTGACAGATATTTGGATATGACAATCTTTCCATCACTACAGTTTCCACTGAAACAAATACTACAATCATGATGATGTGATGTCTGTTGGTGTAGCAAAGAAACATGTTTTCTTACATCTGTAGAACAAGATTGGCCTCACATCCCTACAGAGCTACAGTGCTTAATTATAATGCTGCTGTCACAAATTGTACTTTTTATCAAACAAATGCAGCTTCTTAAGATTTGAATATTGCACCTGGCCATATTGCAATTTTGATAATATTTCGATTAATTGTGCAGCCCAAAAAGTGACATTTTGCCACCTGGGAGTCAGTGTATCTAAATATGTTAGGATATTCCCAATTCAGGCCCCACAAAGCAATTTGACACTTTCCTCAACTAACATCTTTCCATAGGAATACTTGTGACATATGATTTGAACTGCTGCTCATCTGACCAAAGTTCCTTTGCTTACAGAGGCTGTCTGAACGTAATGAAACGTGTGTGAAATATGAGGAGAGAAATCGCAGCTGTGGTATTCTTCCTGAAGAGGCTTGTGAAAAAGGGGGAGAAGTTGGAGTCGCACAAGATCGAGCTGTTTGTTGAGAGGCTGGCTGTCGCACTGCAGGAGAAGTTCAAGGGGCACTGGTACCCTGAAAACCCCAGCAAAGGACAGGCATACAGGTGCTGTTCGTAAGGATGTTCTAAGAAGCAAATCCAGTAGAAGATCTTTCCACTGAATGGTACAACTGAAATCTGTTTTGTGCTCTGCAGGTGTATTAGAGTGAACAGGTTTCACAGGCAGGATCCAGAGCTCCTTCGGGCCTGCCGGGAGAGCGGGGTTCGGTACAGTGACCTGGGACTGCCTCGTGAACTCACACTGTGGGTGGACCCTGGGGAGGTCTGTTGCAGGTGAGATTTTGAGGGAATTTGCCATAAATAGATGAAACAAAGTTTGAAGACACAAATGGTTTTGGCATTAAACACTGGAAGACTTTGCTGGTGTAACCAGGGCTCGAGGGTGGTACTATTACCTGCCAAATGAATGGTATTTTGCTTCCCTCATTGAAGTGACTGGTAAAATGTGACCATTTGGCAACTATTTCAGACTCATTGGAAGTGTGTTTTGTTGGAGGTTTATAAAAGTAACCAGTACATAGAACTAATTGATCAAACTTCACTGCAGCCACTGATACACTTGGCTTTGAATATCAACAGATTAACGCCAGCCTGCAACTTTATTTTTATTTTTTTGGATTTCTGGATTTTTTTCCAGCCTATACTTTTCAGGATCAATTTTCCTGGAGTCATATTGGTGAAGAAAGATCAAATATAATGAAAACTCTGTCTTCAAGCATATGTATTAAAGAATTGCTTGGTTTCAAACCGATTTCTAGCCAAGTATGTTAATTGTTGATTTTCCCCCTGTTCCCATTACTAGATATGGAGAGCAAAATCCTTATTTCTCAGTGGCCAGTTTCTCTAACGATGATGAGGAGGACAAAGATGTTGCAAAGAAGGTGACCAGTGCTTTGGAGAGGGTGACGTCAGACTACCACTCAGGTTCTTCTTCTGACGAGGAGAGCATGCGCACTTCCCCTCTCACTGTTCCCAACAGCCGCTGTGCTAAGCAGGTATTGCATAATACATTATTATTTAAGTCCTATGACTAAATATTGCATGCAGGTCTAACATTAATTTGTAATGAAATGCATCCAGGGGTTCAAGGGTTTGGGTTGTTTGTATTGCAGTTGATATTTGATATTTTCTTTTTTAAGGCGATGAATCCAGCTGCTCCTACGTGGCATCCTAAGAGGATGGTACCAGGGAAAGGTCCTATCATTCCACAGCCTCAGTACGGCTTCAGGCCTCGCAGCAGAGCCCCCCACACTTTAAGGCATAATCTGTGGGTCCCTCCTAGCTACAGAGGAGGGCCTGGATACTGGGACACAAACCAAAATCTGGCATATTGTTACAGTTAGGAATCATGGTGCATATTGTTCACACTGGACATTAAAGCTGAAGACAGGTTTAAGGTGACTGACCAATGTTTTTTTAAACATGAATTTTTATAGCTTACATATTGTTTTTTGACAAGGTTTTTTGCACTTTAGACCATTTGTTATAGTTTAAATAAATCACTTGTATTAAATTAGATATTGAAATTGGAATACTACACGTGTAGTCTTGAAGTACTGTATTTTTACAATGGGAAATGTTCATATATGCCACCTACTGTCCTTTTGTGAGAAAATGTTTTATTTATTCATAGTGTAGAGTTGTCAGATGTATAGGCTTAAATTTATGGAGTTTTATTAAACACAGTTTCCAAGCATCGTGGTGCTTTGTTTATTATATTTCTGTTTACTGAAGGATCATCCAAGTGTTGTTAAAGTGGTTTTGATTTTTTTTGTTTTTTGCATGAAAGTGTAGAGAAGACAAGTAAAACATCAAACTGGGCAGTTACATGGTGTCTGACCTACATGAGATAACATGAGCAACCTGGAATTAGGTTAACTTGAACACACACTATACTTGCTGTCTGTGGCTGACAATGCAGAGTCAGGTTTCATCTATAGAAAGAACCCTTCAGCACGATGGATTCCTAATGGTTAGGAACGTTCCTTAAAACTGGTTCCCAACCTTTTCCTCCCTTTTCTGTTATTCAGTAAACTGATGACCCCTGACTAAGGGACACATTTTATGGATATTTCATATTCAATGCATAACAGTTAAACTGTACAGTTAACCCAAATTGAGAACACTATAACTGAAGGGAGTTTGTGCAAAAACAAGCAATTTGGATGAATTGTGAGTGTGAATAATACATTAGATTATATTTTTAGGAACCTTTCATACAAT